CCTGTGACATGTTTCCATTTTAGTCTAAAGTCAGAGCTCCATGTTGTGATAGGTATTTGGGAAAAGCAGTGAGACCTCTTCTTAGAAGAATGTGTATGCTCACACGGTAACACACATGACTCTGTGCAGTGCATTTGCATACATATACTAATCACATACTCACATGGTAAGACACACAACACACAGATACACACTAATCACCCACTACACACATACCCTCATCATATGCCACACAACTTTATCATGAGAACCACACACTTATATGTACAATCACACCACACACACGTACACTGATCACACATCTCTCATCATATATCATACATGTATGTAACTGTGTTAGTTGATACATTGTGTTCAACTTGGTTCTCAGTGTGGGGGCCTAACCCTGCAGGTGGGCAGAGCCCAGGAATTGAGAAAGGCTTCCTGCTGCCCTGCCCCGCTTCCGTGGAGAAGTCCCAGTCTTTGGAGGAGCTTGATCTTGGCCCCTGAGCTCTGGTCAGCGCAGGAGGAAGAGAGAGGCTTGCTGGACGCCGCAGCTGCTGCTCCTCCTCTGCTCTTCATTGTTTTCTGCACATTAACTGCTGTTGTTTGCCTTGGAGCCAGCAGAATATGGACTGAACCCTCCAATAACCGTGAGCTAAATAAACCTTTCCTTTTGAGTGTCAGGTATTTGTCCCAGCAACGAGTAAACAGTAACAAAGACAATGTAATTATACCACACACACACACACACACACACACACACACACACACAGACTAAGCATTAAACATACCGGAACATATCTGTAACAGTGACACTTCACACAGAACATACATAAGAAGCACACACTCCACGTATCATACTCAATAACATGAGGCACAAAACACACATGTCAACACACCCACAAACCCTGGCCAACAGCTTCAGAGGGCTGACAGATATTCCGAGGCCACCCAGCCCCAGGAGCCCAACATGTTTCTTCTCCCTTCCCTGGGTTGCTCTCCAATCTCAGGGCAGGTGCAGGGGAACCCCAGGGAGCCCTGGCTGTCACATCTGAAACTGCACATCATGTGGGCTCTGATAAACAGACCTGGATTCTGTCACTAGTTGTATGTAGTCAAAGTTTCCATTTTAGTCTAAAGTCAGAGCTCCATGTTGTGATAGGTATTTGGGAAAAGCAGTGAGACCTCTTCTTAGAAGAATGTGTGTGCTCTTAGAAGAATGTGGCTGGTGAAGGAGCCTGTCATGTAATAATTGTTCCTTTCTTTCTTTCTGGTACCAGGGATTGAACTCGGGACCTTGCATTTGCCAGGCAGGCACTTATATCGCTGAGCGACCTCCCCAGCCCCACGTACTCATTGTTCCCGGCAGCCCCACCCTGAGGCCTAAGGAGCCCCAGGCTCGCTGCTCCCTGTGCACCTTCTGAACACCTCACATCCTTGAACTCATCTAATCCTTTGCACCACAGTTCTTCTTCTCTTCACCTGCATACTAAGGATGGAGAAGCTGAGCACACAGCCAAGTCAGGGCCAGAAGAAGTGGAATTCAAACTCACACGGCCCCCCAAGCACCTGATTCTTCTCCTTCCCTTATGGACCCCATAAATTCCTCCTGCAAAGTCCCAGGGTGGCTCTAACACAGCACTTACTGCTCTATACTACACTGTGTATGTTTGAAAATCTGTCTTCTCACCTTGGACTCCTATCCTGGCTCAGCCCCAGAGCCGGGTACACACTGGGATTCAGGACTAAACCACAGAGAAGCAGATAACAAGGCAGTGAAGAGCAGGTGCCCTGAGACCAGACCCCTGCCTGCTGGCTTCAGCCCTGTCTAGCTGTGCTCATGGGCAAATCAGTTTACTACTCCGGGCCTCAGTGTCCTTATCTGAAAAATAGGCATAATACACATTTGTCTCATTGAATGGGCTCCACATAGAAACACTAACTCTGATTGACAATTTAAAGGTCTGGGGCTGGGCCAGTGAGATAGCTGAGAGGTCTAAAGCACCTGCTTAGGCAAGCGCAGGGACCGCAGTTTAATCCTGGCACCACATGCTGCACCAGCCCCACCTCCAGGGCTGGCTAAGTGGACATAAAAAAAAAAATCAAAAGGTCCAGGGCTATGTCAGTTGGGGTGGGGATGAAACTGACCCACATCCGTTAGAGTACACCACAAGCATTTCACGCCAATCAGCCACGTTCACCATCCTGATGGCCCAGAGATCCTGTCACGTACAAAGACGGTTCTGGCTGGAAAAGCCCCCTGGATCACTGGGTCCTAAGCCACACTGCCTCTCAGACCCGGCAGAGCCCAGGGCTAACCTCCTGCTTCACCACACAGTAGTTCCAGCCACTCCTCACCTCTGCCGTCATCTTGGCGATGAGCCCAGCGGGAATGGCCCCGCTGAGCACGTTCCGCCTGAGTCCTGGGTTCCTGGGGTCCTTGAGGTTGCTGATGCGGCTGCGCACGCGGTTCCGGTACTTCATGTCTGTGCTCTTGAGCTCCTGATAGATATGTGACAGAGTCAAGGGCCAAACAACCATCCATGGAGAGTACAGAGGACGGGTGCCTGGGGCTATCTCCCCCTCTACCTGGCCTCCTATGGGTGTCAGGAGACACCTGGGGGCTTCTAACTCTCTACTGGGGTCTCACTGGGCATATGGGGTCAGTGGAGCCATCAGAGACAAGGAAGATCCCAGTGAGACGGTGTCAGGGACCTGGGAAAGGACCCTCTGGCTGTGCGTGACCTTAGCTGAGCCATACGGCTTTGGGGAGCCTCAGTTTTCTCATTTATAAACCTCAGGGGGGATGGGGGCTGGTGAGATGGCTCAGTGGTCTAAAGCACCTACTTGGAACAAGCTTGGCAAAGCACAGGGACCGCGGTTTGATCCCCCAGCACCACATGCCAGCCAGCCCTGCCCCCTGGTGGGCTGAGCTGGCCACACACACACACACACACACACACACACACACACAAAAATAAATAAATGTGTAAAAAAAAAAAAAACCTCAGGGCTGTTAGAAACAGAGTGAGCTGAGTCACATGATCACTGGGACAATGTGGGCACTAGCAGTGCCCAGTGCTTATGGGTTAAGATGATGACAACAATGAAGATGACCTTTGGTCTAGAAGGGGAACGACTCGGAGTCACCTGTACCGAGCTCTAAGCACTACGACAAGATATCACCTAGCTTTGCATGATAGGGTGGCCCCACATTTTGATCCTTGATTCTCCCGAAGTGCACTTTGGGAAGGGCTGACCTGTTCCTACTCCCAATTACAGAAGAGACAGGACATGGGTCTCTTTGCTCAAGGTTTCAGGGTAGAGTCCTGGCAGAGGCAGTGCTGGAAGCCAGTCCCTAAGGGCAAGGTTGTCCCCATTCACCAGAAGGCAGGCAGGTACCCGCGCCACCAACCACAGTGAGTTCCTGTCCAAACACCATGTCCCACAGGGCTGCCACAGCTCGGCCCTCTGGAGACCCGCAGTGAACGCAGCCTTCTGCTTGGTCCTCTGAATCAGGCAGAGCCAGGAAAATAAGGCCTTTGCTGGGAAAACCCTCAGACAAGAGAGAGGCTGTGGGGAGCGTGCAAAACGGAAATGGCTGATTGGCTAGAGGCGGTGGGAGGAAAGGCAGGTTTTTTTCTCCTGTTACTGTTGTTTTAACGTTTTCTGTACCAAAAAAATGTGAGAAGAAACAAACATGTATGAAGAAAAGCACATGCCCTCTTCCTGCGAGTAGCCTGAGGTGACCTGTGAAAATGGTACCATTCCGGCGTTACAATGGTGGAGTTGGCCAAACAGTGGGGCTGGACGCCGGGTCGGTGGCCCAAAAAGAGTGCTGAATTTTGCTGCACATGCTTGAAAATGCAGAGAGTAATGCTGAACTTAAGGGTTTAGATGTAGAGTCTCTGGTTATTGAACATAGCCAGGTGAACAAAGCACCCAAGATGCGCCGCTGTACTCATAGAGCTCATGGCCGGATTAATCCATACATGAGCTCCCCTTGCCATACTGAGATGATCCTTACTGACAAGGAACAAATTATTCCCAAACCAGAAGAAGTTGCACAGAAGAAAAAGATACCCCAGAAGAAACTGAAGAAACAAAAACTTACGGCATGGGAATAAATTAAGCATAAAATAAATGCAAACAAAAGAAAAGAAAAAAGAAAAGCACCTGCCACAACGCACAGGAGAGCCAAATATGTGCTCAAAACTCTGCCACTCAGGCCTTGTGGAGCGTGGATTTGTCGAGATGCGGGGCAGATGGGCTGGGTCCGCTTCAGCCTCTGACTCCTCCTCGTGTTTCCCAAGACCACAGGGGAGGCTGAGGTGGGGAGCAGCCCCAGGGCCTCCGACACCTCAGCTGGGTGGATCCTTTTGGGGGGCAGAAGAGTCTTCAGCATCCCATATGAATCTTCCTATGGCTATAGACAAGAGCTAAGGAGCCACCACCACTTGGTCTCTTCTCCTTTAGATGAAGGACAGGGACACCCAGTGGAGGAGGCAAGCAAGGAGCAAAGGCCAGGCAAGGGAGCCAGGGCTTGGGCACCTACTTTGCTTCAGACTGGGCCTGGAAGTGCCAGTGGCCTGTTTGGAGGAACAAATGCTCCTGAGAGAAGGAAGACGAGGTCTCCATCTCCAGGCTCTGTGTCCCTAGCTTGTAGGAATGAGGACCGTGTGTCTGTTGAGACATTAGATGGAAACGTGCTGCAGTATCGCCAGCTCATCACTGAATGTCACTGAACAGAGCAGAGGACAACTGGGAGATGGCAGGGTTGGACCAGGCACAGGAGGTGGGGGGGGGTGGAGCCAGGTCTGAGGTCTGCAGATTGGCCCCAGGGCATCCCCAGGAGACCCACAGGAGCTCCCAGATAGACCCAGGAGGCCTCTAGAGGGTTACTCACACTCTGTGTGACAGACTCCCTCTCCCTTGGGGATCCTACCTCTCCCTTTCTCTCTCCCTTCCTCTCTCCCTCCCTTCCTTCTTTCCTTCCTTCCTTCCATCTATCCCTAAAAGGTAGAACAATCATATCCCCTGCCTGCACAAGATTCATTTCAGATGGGAAGTGAGGCGTGGGCCCTAAGGAAAGAGTTCAGTACATGGGATTCAAAGACCAACGCTTTCTGCCAAGCCCTGACACTCAGTAGTTTCTGAGCCTCCATTTCTTTATCTGTAAAATAGGAACAACAGCCCCTGCCTCAGAGAGATTGTTGGAAGTGTTGACAGAGGTTAAAAAATGCCAAATGCCAGGTACCGTGCCTGGTCCCTAGCAGGGACTCAAAAGTGGGAGCTGTGGTCGTCAAATGAAGGAAGAGGAAAAGGCTAAGGCTGAGACATGCTGTCGCCTCCATCTGCTGGGATCTACAAGATAATGGCTTCTGCACCAAGGTGCATCAAGACACAGCCCCTGGGGTGCAGTGGTTGAGCTCTCAGATTCTAAAGTCAGACTTTCTGGGTTCAAATCTCAACAGTGCAACTATTGTTAGCTTCCTAAGCTTCGGCAGGGCCTTCCCTCCCTCAGCTTGCTTCATCTCTAACCAGAACAACTGGAGACACACCTGGCTGGGTTACTCTCTATGCTGATCAAAGGGACGTTTTCGCAGCTTAGTAGGAGGCCAACAGGGGCAACACTTAAGGCTACAGGCAGCAGGGAATGTCCCCAAAGCCCTCACCCTTGTTCCCCTCTACAGCATCCAGGTCTCCACAGCCCCTGCCCAGCTTGAGGATATGATCTTCAATTTCTGATGCCATCTTGTCACAGTTGACCCCATAGTCCTTGTAGTTATCTAAAAGAGATTAGGAGATTCAGACATCAGGCAGCCATGACATTGCCAGGGCTGTTAGCTTGCACTGGGAACAGAGCTTTCCCACAGTACTCCCAGGAGAAGGCTCTGGGTGAGAGGGCGTCTCACCATCCCCAGAAACCCCTTACCCCACTCCACTCCCGGCCGAGGCCCTCTTACCTTCAGCCTTCAGGGCTGCAGCCAGCATCTCCACACACTTGTCCCGGACAGAGTCCCCTGTGAGATAGCAAGGAGCCAGGAGGCAGACAGAGGGGGCAAACGTGGGAGTCAGGGGGCTGCTGGGTGTCTTGGGGGTCTCCGCTTTAGTTTTGCTGCTGTTTGATCTGTGGACGACAACCAGTACAAGATACAGTGATAGGAAGCCGCTGTGCTTGTCTACCTGTTCATGAAGCTCACCTCGAGCCCTACGAGGTGGGGGCTACTTCCTGACATGGATCATCTCATTCGCTCCTCCTCAGAACTCCACGAGCAACCTCCCAGCCTCATTCACATCTTAGCAGTGTATCTTAGCGAATGATGCATCTAAAGGCACGCTTGGCTCAGCTCACACATGCAGGATTTAGTCAGAGTGGGACCCGAACCTGGGACACTGAGCTCTTGGGTAGCCACCCTCTTTAACCGACCACTGTGCTCAGCTTCTACTGAAAAGGCCAGCTGCACCAAGCATTTTGCTGCGATCCATTGTGCATACTGCTTGTTTCTCTCATACTAGTTATGTTAGACTAAATTATATTAGAGATATAGATATCTCATTACTATATCAACCCACCCGCCCATCTTCCCTCCCTCATTCCCTTCCTCCCTCTCTCTTTCTCCCTTCTTTTTTTTTTAATTTTTTTTATTTTTATTTTTGTGTGTGGCCAGCTCAGCCCACCAGGGGGCGGGGCTGGCTGGCATGTGGTGCTGGGGGATTGAACCGCGGTCCCTGTGCTTTGCTAAGCTTGTTCTAAGTAGGTGCTTTAGACCACTGAGCCATCTCACCAGCCCCTTTCTCCCCTCTTTCTTCCCTCCCTCCCACCAGCCCACCCGCCTGCCTGCCTGCCTGCCTGTCTTCCTGCCTTCCTTCTTTCCTTCCTTCCTTCCTTCCTACCTTCCTTCCTTCCTTCCTTCCTTCCTTGATTCCTTGATTCCTTCCTTCCATCTGTCCTTAAGAGATAAAACAGTCAGGGATAGGACTGGCAAGATAGATCAGTGGTCGGGGCTGGGGAGATGGCTCAGTGGAATAAGCGCTTCCCTGGCAAGCGCAAGGGCCTGAGTTCAATCCCCGGTTCCACAAAAAAAAAAAAAAAAAAAAAAAAAAAAGATAGATCAGTGGTCTAAAGTGCCTACATAGGCAAACTTTGGCAAAGTTCAGGAACCACAGTTCAATCCCAGCACCACATGCTGCACAAGCCCCGCCCCCAGGGCAGACTGAGCCAGCCACAAAATAAAAAAGAAAAAAAAAAATCAGTCAGGGATAGACAGCTTGCTCGCTCCAGGAGTTTTCAGCCTCCGAGAAGTGACTATTTGCACCACATATGAGGACTGGCTCTCGCCAGGTACCAGAACTGTGCCAGACTCTTCACAAGCATTTTCTAATTTAGCTTCATAGTGGTCCCAGGAGCCAGGTGCTGTCCTCATCCCCGCTCACAGAGGAGGAGAAAAATCAGGCGAGTTCCACCCTCGGATGGGCCCAGAATGATGTGATGCACCACTGAGGCTTGGACCAGGGCTGTCAGATTCCGACGCTGATCTTTTTTTTTTTTAATTTTTTTATAACTTATATACAACAAAACTGGTTATTTACTTATTTAATTTGGGGGCCAGCCAAATAGCTCAGCGGATTTTTTTTTTTTTTTTTTTTTTTTTTTGTGGAACCAGGGATTGAACTGAGGACCCTACGCTTGCCAGGCAAGCGCTTATTCTACTGAGCCATCTCCCCAGCCCAAGCTCAGCAGATTAAAGCGCCTGCTTAGGCAGACACAGGGACTGGGAGTTCCATACCCTGGCCTGCCGTGCTGGACCCATCCCCAGGTGCACTGAGATGGCAATTGAGACTAGGCATGGTGGCGTGCATTGGTAATCCCAGCACTTGGGAAGCTGTAAACAGGAAGATCACTATGAGTCTGATCTATGCAGTGAGACCCTGTATATCCTGCACACCTGTCCTAAAAAAAAATCTGGGGGATCAGGGATGTAGCCCCGCGGCACAGAGTCTGCCTGGCAAATCCAAGGTCCTGAGTTCAATTTCCAGTACCAAAAAAAAAAAAAAAAAGTATTTGGTGCATGGTCTCATTACGCAACTCAGACTCCTAGTGATCCTCCTGTTTTCAGCCGCTCCAACACTGGAATTACAGTTGTGCGCCACCATGCCAGGTCTTGTGGCCAGCTCAGTGTGCCCGGGGGCAGGGCCAGCATGGCACGTGGTGCCAGGGATCAAACCCTGGTCCCTGCACTTACCTAAGCAGGCGCTTAGTTACGGAGCTATCTCCCCAGCCCGTGTCTCTTCTCACAATGGCACTAATCCTATTGGCTCAGGGCTCTGCTCTTATGACCTCAAGAAGCAGTCGGATAGCCATGAAAATCCTGCAGATAAGTAGAGTCACACTGGGGTTTGGGACTTCAACATGAGAATGGGGGGTCACCTTCAGTCCATAGCACCATGTTAGTAGCAATTATCTTTCCTAGGTAAGAGTAAACATTACTTTTTTTTCCCTTATACACATCTTCAAAATCTTCTATGAAGAAGGTGTTTTCTTTTGTAATAAGACATGTGGTTTTTTTTTTAACATTTGACAAACGTAAGTGGCCACCATGCTGGTGGCTCCAATTGGCCTCCTACGTCCTGCGCACAAAGAGCTGTCAAGTGTCCAAAAGTAGAGGCATGGATAAGCAAAATATGATGCAGCAGTCATAAAAACAATGTAATTATCCAAAGGGGGGAGGCCGAGGAGATGGCTCAGTGGAATAAGTGCTTCCCTGGCAAGTGCAAGGGCCTGAGTTCAACCCCTGGTTCTGAAAAAAAAAAAAAAAATTATCCAATGGGCGTGTTGGCACACACCTGTAATCCCAGCACTTGGGAGGCTGAGGCAGGAAGATCTTTGTGAGTTTGAGATCAGCTTGTGCTACAAAGTGAGCTCAATGCAATTTTGATTTACACTACACAGATGAAAAATGAATACACTGTAACTGAAATAAGCCAGACATCAAAGGGCAAATACTGTGTGATTCCATTCATGGGGTGAACAAAGACATCAGATTTAAGCAAACAGAAAGGAAGACGGTGGCTGCTGAAAAGAGGGCAGAGTAGGGCGTTCCTTAAGGAATATGGAGGCTGGGTGTGGTGGTGCACACTTGTAATCTCAGGACTCAGGA